GAGAGAGAGAGAGAGAGAGAGAAACAGCAATGGGGAAGGGGGAAGATTGCTCAGGTCACCTGACAAATTGACTAAAAATATACAGCTCACCAAAAGTGTATCCAGTAACGCTGTCGAGACTAATAGAAAGCTAGTTAATCCCACAATGTTGCAACACCAACATATTGCCTTTGAATTTGATGTAGTCCATTAGCCAACAATTCATGAAATAATATAGAAAAACATGCAGCACAAATTACCTCCATTGAAGAATGATTTCAGCATCAAGCGTGTGATCCAGTTCTTCTAAATCTTTATTATCATCTATTACTATCCGATCAGGATCAGATTTCAGCAATGAAGCATACAAAGAGATATATTTCTTCCGCAACCTCGTATATCGCAGGACCTGCTCCCATGACAACTTTCCACTACAAACAATAATGGTATTATTAATTGAAGACTAAGAACCAAATCTTCTCCACGTGTATACACATATATATCTACACGACTTAACAGAATAAGAGAGAATGATATTACATCTTCTAAAAGCTGTAACATTTTTTCCTCAAAAGCCCTATCATTTTCGATCAATTGAAATAAAATAGAGCAAATATGGTGAATGTGTAAACGAAAGCATTAGCATCTTTTTCAGGTCCGAGAGAGATTATGAGGACAAGTAGAAACATGTTAGCTCCTCTTTTATCGCATTTGTTTATGCATATTAAATTGGTCTTTAGCCTTCGCATCAGAGTGTTGTGAGGATATCAAAATGTAAGAGGAAGTTTGGTGAGTCTCTTAATTCCTTAAGAAACTAGTTACATACCTGGCCTTCGTTATCTGATCAGACAAAGCTTGATAAGCATACTTCCACCATGATTTTGGATCAGATCTCACCGGGACATGTGGACGAAGATGAGCATATTTCAACCGTTGATTGAAGGCAGCAAAGTTCTCGGCCAACTTTAATAAATCCCTATAGCCATTCTGCACAAGTTACATGCCAAAGTAAGTGAAAAAGCCAAAACAAGCTAGAATCAATTCCACATGGACGAGAAATAAAAAACAGAAAAGAAAAGTTAGCAAGACCAGCCTTGGACAAACAAAGAGTCACATCATCCAGAGCCACAACTGCCTTTTGTAGAGGTTCCGTATTATCAAGTGAAGGATTAGGGCGCTGTTTCGAGAACTTAGCTTTCCCAGTCACTGGTTGCAAAATGTAAGAATGCTCTTTAATGTGGCCGTCAGCTGGTTTGCCATTATCCGTTCCATATCTGAAAATCTGAGGATTGAACTAGGTTTACGAATAGGGACAGATCAGAAAGAGGAGCCACTAAATGACAACCAGAACACTCTAGAAGTACCTTGTCCCACTCCAGTGGTAGCAAATCTGCCCAAGGTTTGTCAATATGCCACGGACTGATATCAGAATCGAAATAAAAAGCTAGCCGTTCAAGTTCTACAGACTAACATGTCAAAAAAAAATCAATAAAAAGTGTGAAATAAGAAACCAGGACATTTTATCAAGAAAAACATAGAAAGAATTATCACATCATATAAAAATCTAGACAAGATAATAAGGCTGCATTAAAATACATATGCACTTGGCAGTTCCCTTTTTTTCATTGTTGACATGATTTCAGAGAAGAGCTACAACCAGAGGCAAGAGAGATGCAGTAGAGAGGTAGGTAATGGACTGCAGGAATGATATGATCAAGGACCTAGAATCTGGTTGAAGAGAGTAAAGAGATGCTAAAATTGCTTCAGTGAAAAACCACTAGTTTTGCACGACTAAAGTTGCTAACTAATCAGCTATAATCAGAACACAACGAGGGCGAAAGTACACAAGGCGCAAGAAAATTGGGGAAGCTGAAAATAAGAGGTTTGCTTAATGTATAAACGCATAACATAAAGAGGTCATCGGGTAGGATGTGGTTAAGAACTTTTATCTTTTCATCAACTTAAAAGTGCAAAAGAGACGGACCTTCTGTATAAAATCCAATGCATTTCCAGTTACAAAGGTTTCACTCCCGCTCTCATCTACTGTCATAGCTGATAGTTTCTCTAAGGTCATACCAGCTGCAAAAGAGTGGCCAGGATTGCTGCACGACGAAAGCTAGTCAGATTCATCATAAATTCAAAGAAATCAACAATTGAACCTCCTTACCTCTCAAGATCTTCATATCTGATGTGGATATTTGAAATTGAAAGCTTTAAATTCCCAATTACTGTGTTGATCAAAGACCCCAACCAGGACTTATTCTTGAGAAAGGCAAAAAAGAAAATTGGTTACAGTGATGATACTTGATGGACAGTATTCTGTGAAACCGCCATTCCATACAAGAACTAAGATTTACATTTGTTTCCCATCCGTGGCAATGTCATAAACCGAACCAAGGAGGATGCCTTAAGATATTTAAAGATAAAAAAACTAAAACAGAACATTCCAAGCAGCCTTTGAAAATCTTATATGGTAAAACTCAATCGAACTTAACATATATGAGTGCCACACACAACAAGCAACAGGAATATCATAACATTGATGTCAAATCTCATTCATTTAAAGATGTGGGTACTAATATCTAACGATTATAACATTAGAATCCATGAACTATACTGTCTATAGAAACTGTAATGCCATTTCTTAATTACTCCTAATCTAGAACCACAAGCATGGATAATGCTGAACCAACTGACATTCTTAAGAAACTATAATGCCTCCTCTCCATCTCATTATCTAGAAGCACAGGAATACTAAAAACAACTATATTATGCTGCAGTTATTGACGCAAGTTGACAGCCTCTTATCCGTATCTCTCACTTTTCACTTTCATCAAGAGAAGAAAAAAACAAATCATTTTCCACTAGACCCATAAGTTCACGTCCGAAAACAAGAGGCAGCATCAGCAATCAAAGTTAGTAAGCTAGATATCAGATTAACAGTCTACCACTGACAGAAGCAACCAATGAACCCATCATTCTGAGCATCCAAGTTGGCACACATACCTCAAAGTTTTATGTATTTGACATAAGACAAAGAAATATACCATTTCTGTCTGTAGGATTCGTCTACTCTCCAGAAGCTTTGTTTCCATGTCCTAGTTGCGATCAAAATAGGTAACATCAAAAACATTTCCTGTCGACATGCAAAAAAAATTACTTGAGACTCAAAACCTTACTCGTATTCTACTCTTCTTAGCTTCTTGGACAGCATCTTCGGTAGATCCTTCAACTTGGGTTGCTGGCTCAGCTAATAAGAAAATACCATCCAGGTGAACTTGAACTGGATCTTGGCCAAGCCTGCTCCACGGTACCTATAATTATGGAGTAATTACTGACATGCAAATGACAATACAATTCCTTAATTAAACAGTTACCCATAAAGGGGATACCAGTTGTCACAATGTTACATGGAAAATGATAAGAAGTCATAAGAACAGATAGAAGGAATGAAATATTTAGAGATACTAAGAATCCCTGGCAGGTGGACACACTGTAACTACACCAAGCAACCCAGAGTAGTCAAAAGCGNTACCTACAAACAAGCACAATAATTATTTTGACAAAAGAATTGACATAACTATAATTAAGCGAAATTTAAGATGTAAAAATCATATCAATCAAGGTGAAAATACATTTTATAAATATCTGATTTATGTGAAAAGGTGTAATTTTATTTCCTAATCACTAAAACTCACTCTTTTTTCTTCTGAAATGGTTTTTTTTTTTTTGGGAGAAGGTAACAAATTTTATAAATAAGATAAAGTAACCCTTAGCACAAAGATAGTACTAAGAGTAAAACATAGTTACAAGACCCCAAAAAGAACAAAAACCTAGTCTTGTAATAGTTACAAGGACCTAATAGTGTCCGCTATAGGTGGTAAGTATTATTATAAACAAATTGGCACAATGTGCCTGGTTACATCGAAAACAAAAGCCCTGATAGACCAAAAGAAGAGAACCTAACATGTGTAGTGAAGTTTCGAAAAATGATTTATCAATTTACCAACTATATTTATTGTGCCCTCCGATAGGTGATGAGGTGCATGCATTAGCACCTTAAAGCTTTCACTAAAGTGCTGCTTAAGCGAGATGATGCGCACAGCCTGACATTATCTTATTTTTTAGGGTTTAAGTGCACTTCAAATGAGCTTTTAACAACACTGAAACAACCTGCAGCAAGTTACATTCCATTGAAGAGCAAGCCACCTCACAGACAAACAGACACGGACAAGGGAGGAGAAGTATCTAGGCTGTGGGAAGTATGTGCTTATTTCTTAGAGAGCATCGGAACTCTTAACATGCTAAGCAAAAAAACTTGTTTGTGGTTTATGTGGACCAAAGCTTAACCTCCAGGTTTGTTGATCAAAAAGATGTAATAACCTTTTTTTCTTTGGCCGAAAGATCAACTTCATTTAATACTTCTAATGTTTTAGCTATCAATTGGATTGATTTGAGTAATTCTAAGGAAACCCAGAAAAAAGACTTTGAATTGAGAGTTAGTTATGTTCAATATCAACTACTACTTGAAAAGATTGATTTGATTTGTTTGTAAAATAGGAAATATACTTACAAAACCACGGGTGCTCTTATTAGGGATAGTTCCTAAAGTTACTTCAATATCCGTAGGAATATATGTTTTTAATATGAATTTAGATAATAAAGCACTTTAAATAAATAGCATGCGAAGTTATGAACCAGGTTCCTTCAAGGATGACCTAATTCTAAATTTAGCTTGCTTTATTGATGTTATTAGGTTTATTCAACTCAAATTTCATTTAACTCAAGGGTTGAGATAATTTCAGTACCCAGTGATCAATCAATCCTCCTTGTAGAAACAATAGTGACTCATCATTATATTAATCACTGTGATGTGTGCACTTAATTTCCAAAATCACACAACAGTGGCATAAAATTACAGCTGAAAAGGATTCAAAATATTATAAATATGCCCTCAAGTTCAAGATACTAAAGTCATAAGCAAAAGCATCCACAGCCAAGAACAACCAATATACTCAGTTCACTTTCAGGTATTCAAAACTTCAAAATAACTCATTCAGAAGTCAGATGTTAGGGGTAGAACCTTGAGTCTCACAGATCCAAGAAACCCTGCCTTGACTTTTACAGGTAACTTCAATGCATTGAGAGCCTCTGGTTTTAATTGCATATTTACTAGCTCTACGTCACCTGTCACATATGCCACAATGTGTTAGTAACCAAGCAAATTTTCAATCCATACCTGCATTGTTTGACTGCAACAGATATTGTCAAGGAAAACACTTAAGAACTGTATTATATACAGTGGCATCCCCCACCCCCACACTCACCCCACCCCAAAAAAAAGAAGACCTAAAACTTCCGCTTCCGTGGATAGATGTATGTTCAAGGCAGCGAGTGCACCTGCATCACTGCTTTTGCTCGAGCCATATATATAGAGTCAAAAAAGTTTTAAAATAAATCTGAACCCGTTGCCACAAAGAAGTAGTCGGTGACTCCGCACCTAAAATTCTGAATATACATCTAACTTGCCAAATCAATATGTCAAAAAGAAAAATTTTGAACTGAATTGCGCTTAAAATGCTGTCTTTCGACATCATTGAAGGCATTAAAAAACAATTATCAAGAAGGGAAAAATAATAAAGGCAGGGGCAAGTTACTTGAACAAGATTTTAAAGAAGAAGGGCTACTTATTGGGTGCTTCCCTTATTGGAGTTTGAACATCTATTATCAGCTTTAAAGATGCTATTTTCATTACGAATGAACTCTTTACTATGACCAGTACATGCAAAACAGAGATATTCAAACAAACAAGTTTTTTTCTTTTTGGCCATAAATTGGGTGGTATTTCATAGATATCATACCAATCTGGTGTCAAACTATTTACAGCAACGGTAAGTGGCTCACCAACTAAGTCAACATAAACCTTATGTGTCAGGTCTTCCAAAACATTAACCATCTACACAAATAGATATTTCCATCTTGCAGCGGAAGTTAAAAGCAATAGAAGAGAACTCTTAACCTTCAACAATGAACCCTCTAGTCCATCAAAAGTTCTCTTATTTCTAATCCTCCCCAAAACCCAAAAGATGAAAAGCGTTGTTGTCCTCCATAGCTACTTTTTCTTCCTTACAATGAAACTCGAGCTCCACCCTGCTACTATTTAGGACAAACCCAATAGATCTTGAAGGTTGTAAATATCGAGGTCTAAAGTTAAGCATCACGCAATTCAATAGAATGTAATCCACCCCCTCGCATGCTTTTTGCACATGCAACACCAGCTCACCATGATATATCCTATTTTTATCAAACTGTCTACAATCGGAATAGCTCCCCAAGCGGCAAACAAACAAATAAAAAACTAAGTGTTTTAAGTTTCCAACAATTCAATATATCCTTCCACATGAGGCCCCACTCCCCACCAATAAACAAACATCTATAATAGGACCTGACTTAAGTGTTTCGATGAGAACCTTTCCAAATCAATACTATCTACCCAAACTGTGTAAAGCCGTATATAAGAACGATTCAACTCCGAAGCATGTAGGGGCTTCCTAAAAGAGATGTCTCATTCCTTCACACCTTAAAGTCTCGGCTATGGGTGTTCAAGAAAAAAACGAGGAAAAATAACTAAAAATCTAACAAATCTACAAAAGAAACCAACATATACTTTGGGTAGGTTTGGTTTGGAATTACATTTGGAAAAAACAAAAACTATGTGACTTGATTTGTTATTATACAAAAAAGAAATCGAACAAAACCGACTATATACATAACTAATTATAAATCATCAAAATTTGTATATAAATATTGTGTGGAATTCACTCATTCAAAAAACCAACCCCATATCTGAAGTGATATCATCTATCGGGGTAAAAAGTAGGAGCTAAAGTGGCCCTTTTTGGCAAGGATCTTGTGGTGCTCTTTCATTGGACATGCAACTTCTTGGTCCTGATTCATATAATTCATATGACTTAATCATATGCTTATGTGCTTGGCAAATGTGAAATCTATTGTTTGTTGTTTCTTTTTTATTTTCTTCCCTCTCCATGTGTTTCTTGCCCACTTTAGTGTCAAATGTCTTTAGATTCGCTTCCATTCACATAATCTTGAGTAACTCAATTAATTCTTTGTTGATCCATTCTGTTAATTGTTAATTTTCTTTACGTTCCAATACTTCCTCCTCTTGTATCATTCAAATTTGTCGTATTGTAATCACTATCTGACTTGGGATCCTGTAAATGCTCGGGAATGTGAATCTTTCATAATACTCTTTCAAAGTCCGCACACAAATGCAAGTATGATGTATATAGTCCCTCATTACCCTTCCACAGTCCTATACTTCTCCACTACCATCTCCCTACAAAAAGCGTACTTCTCAATCACGAATCTCCATAACCATTAGCCTAATAGAGCCTTGTTGAATACTCAACCTTTTACCTCAAGACCTCTGATTTCATTGAAGAGCCCGCTGATTAAGTGAAGCTTCAAAACCCTATATTTCCGAATCCCATTGGAAGTATAACCTTCCTCTATAGAGTGTGTTGCTCATCCAAAGTCTCCATAACAATTTTCTTCGTAGGGCCTTGTTGAAAACTGGAAGACTTTTCATCCCAAGAGCCTTCACTTAACGTCCTCCCAATTAACTGAGTTGAGCTTCCTAGCCCCATTTGTCGAATCCCATAGGAAGTTCCACCTCCCCTGATAGAGCGTGTTGCTCACCCAAAGTCTCCATAACCATTTTCTTAATAGGGCCTTGTTGAAAACTCGAAGACCTTTCACCCCAAGATCTCTCACGCAACATTCTCCCAGCTGACTAAGTAGAGCTTCCTAACCCCATTTGTCGAGTCACGTAGGATGCTCCTTTGGAGTCTTTCCAATTTACCAGTGAGTTGTGACATCGTCAGGTGCCTGAAACAATGACATGAACTACACAGAGATGCTCGATATGTACCTCTTTTACCATGCTGCCAGTCTTTTCTCAACTCTCTTAATCACTGGGATCCATGTTGCTAGGTCCTTATAAAAACCTCAGTTGCTCGAACACGGTGCAGATATCTGACACTGGTGCAGATGTAAAGATCAAAGTCATCATCACATAATGACTTACGATTCCCGTAGGACCACTTAAATTGTATGTTGTACGAACTAGAAGTATCTATTACTTTCTGATGGGGTTTCATTGGGGCTTTTTGCGGGTTCCTCTTTCTTACATCATGTTATCTTGATTCTATGAAGATTCACATCCCCTTGGATGTGTTTCCGAGAAATTTTGTTTACTGAATGGAGGAAAAACTAATCCAGATGAACTATAAAACTGCTGTGGAAAAAATAAACCAACCACTTGGCAACATGAAAGTTGGACCAGACNATCCCCTTGGATGTGTTTCCGTGAAATTTTGTTTACTGAATGGAGGAAAAACTAATCCAGATGAACTATAAAACTGCTGTGGAAAAAATAAACCAACCACTCGGCAACATGAAAGTTGGACCAGACTGTTTTGTTATCCACTTCCAAATAGTAGACTAATGTACTTCATTGTAATTGAACAAAGAAACTATACATGGAATAGGTTGTATGAGATTTATGAAACAATGTTGTTTCCCTCAGAGAGTATAACTGAAATAGAGCTAGCTAACAAGAAAATTTGACAAGTAGGAGTCAAAGGGACCACGCCTAGCAGAACAAAAGAATAATGAACATGGGTTAAGCCCAAAAGAAGATTCAAGCACACGGGCTAAGCAAGGTTGTAGAACCAGTATACAACCAGGGAGATGGGGTAAGTCCATGATTCGCCTTCAAAGAGCTGGATAACACCTAAATTACAATGGTGCAAGAAGGATTACAGTTTTTAACCGAGTCAAGGAAAAATTTTACAGCCAGAAGACTCAGTCAAATAACCACTTCTCCAGAAAATATGGAATAGAGGAACGTCGACTGAAAGTGGGAGAAGACAGTTAGCCGATGTAGCTCTAAACAATGCACCACAAGAATGACCAACCCTACAGCTATAAATAGATAGCCATTTGTGCATAGAACACACAGCAAATTAACTAAAGATACTTTTGTCCTAATCACTCAAACATTTATGCGCTTTTGCTTCAACACTTCCTTCACACACATGCCTACTTCAGCCTATACTATTTAACATTCAATAAACCTATATATGATGTGAAACGCCGGATAACAAAGTACTACAAATCCAAATTATACCGTTGAAAGCACTTTATTGCACAAATTCATCACAATTTGAAATCGACTACCATAAAAGCTAATGCCTAAATAGAAAATCAATTATACACTCAGAGAATTAGGAATTTACCTTGCCAAACACTGATTTTGAGAGCTTCTTTGTTGAGTCCTCTAACATAGTTCCCCAAATACCTCTGCAACAAGTACGCTACCTGATCTTCCAACATCTTCGCGAACTTTCTACTGATCAATTCTTCAATTCAAATATCTAATAACACTGTAACTGTGTCTACAAGTTTCTATATACAACTTTGAATGTCAAAAAGTGAAGTGTTCCACAAGTTTCCCATGGCGAAGAAGAAACGAAGAAAGAGAGAATTTTAGAATTGGAAATTTGGACTCGTACGATCTATTTTCTTTTAATTCTAATTTTCTTTGTTTCTGATTGTATTTTAAAGATATAAAAATGTCTAAAAAGTTTAGTACGGAGGGGTTTTCCAGTTCTTGTAAGCTAAAATAAAATCTAAATGCAGAATGACGAGGAGGGGTTGGAGATATTTCTTTTAACGAAAAATACCAAAAATGCCCTTGAACTATTTGAAATAACTCAAAAATATTCTTTTCTTTGTTTTTTGTACCAAAAATATCTCTGTCGTGAGTGTGTCTATATTTTAGACCACAAATATCTTTAATCCGTTAGTCTTGCTATTAAATGTGATATGGTAATCCAACTGGGTTAAATTTACTTACATGACCATCCACTTAAGTAATCCAGCATGACAAAATTATTTTTTCAAAAAAATTATTTTTCCAGAAATTTTTTTAAAATACAAATTCAACACTTATTCCAAAAAAAGTAAAAAAAATTCCCGAAAAATTATTATTTTTCGATTTTTTTTATTTTTTTCGGAATAAGTGTTGATTTTATATTTTAATAAAAAATTCCGAAATAAATAATTTTTCCAAAATTTTTTTATTTTTTTCGGAGTGTTGATTTTTTGTTTTAATTAAAAAAATCCAAAAAAAATAATTTTCTCATAAATTTTTATTTTTTTCGGAATAAGTGTTGATTTTGCATTTTAATAAAAAATTTCGAAAAAAATAATTTTTCCTGAAATTTTTACTTTTTTCGAAATAAGTGTTGATTTTGTATTTTAATTAAAATTTTCGAAATAAATAATTTTTTCAGAATTTTTTTTTCTTTTTCGGAATAAGTGTTGATTTTGTATTTTAAAAATATTTCCGTAAAAATAATTTTCTGGAAAAATAATTTTGTCATGCTGGATTGCTTAGGTGGATGATCATGTAAGCAAATCTAATCCAGTTGAACTGTCATGTCACCTTCAATGGCAAGACTAATGAATTAAGGGTATTTCTGATCCAAAATATAGACGGTAGGGATATTTTTGGTACCAAAAAACAATAGAGGGTATTTTTTAGCTATTTTAAATAGTTCAAGGCCATTTTTGACATTTTTCGTCTTTTTTATATCTACACGTGGAGCAGCTAATATCTTGCCGAGTAATTTAAAGCCAACGATGAAGGGAGGGGATCATCACGTGCTACTCACGTATTTGCATTAATTGTTTGTATTAAGGAAGGTTTTCAGTGACGATTCTGTGGCGCCTTCCAAGGTCGCCACTAAAGGTAGGAACCGACATGTACGTCAAGCGACCTACTGATATTGTGGCGCTTTTTTACTTTCTGTGGCGAGTTTCATCGCCACAAAAGCTTGCATGTTTTAAAAGTTTATAGCTACTAAATTCGCCAGAAAAGTATGCAAATGTGCTAGAAGATAAATTTAAGATAGGTCGCTACTCAAAAGAGCAATATATAGTTTTCCACTAAAATTATCACTTATTATGGCGACTTGACATTTACTTTTGACGACTAAGTAGGTTGCCTAGAATATCATCATCGAAAATTTCTACTATACTTAACTCATCTTTAAAATTAAGAAGTGCAAAGATACTTGTTCGTAAAATTTATGAGAATTTAGCAATTCAAGAAAATTAACAACCATCTCTCGAAGACTGCCAAGCTAACATATATTCTTATGCTAGATCAATGTTTGATAAATATAAATCTATGAAAACAACATGTGATGAAACTGCCCATTCTACTTATAAGTCTAGAGTAGAAGTTTTATGGGAAGATATGGATGATATAACAGGTTTTGATTCCTCTATTGATGATGAACTTGATTCTTATCTTAATAAATGATTGGAAAGTATTAAAGATGGAGAAAGCAACGAACAATTTTTGGCATGGTGGAGGGAGCGTGCCAAGGCTTTTCCAACACTTTCAATAATGGTCCGAGATATCCTGGCTATTCAAGCATCATCAGTAGCATCGGAGAGTGCTTTTAACGCGGCAAGATTTTAAATCGGAGATCATAGACATTCATTAGCAAAGGACAACCTAGAGATTTCCGTATTATTCAGAGATTAGATTAATTCAGGAAAAAGAAATCTTGGTTTTGAAAAATTAACCACTAGGTAAGAAGAAGAATACAATGAGATACCTAGTACTGGGAGCGATGACGACATGAAACTCATGGAACATCAATCAACATTGCCAATACTAGAACAATGTCCGAGAGAAATTATAGATAAGTTACAACGAAGTTATATAGGAGCTTACAAATATTAGTATGATAATTTGTAATTGGCTACTGAAAGGCCTAGTTCAAACAGAACCCTTCCTAAAAGGTGGCTGCGTAGATTAGGTGCTCTTCAAAAAAAATATATTTGTATGTGAGATTTGAAAGTTCTATTAATAAAATAAAAGGCTCTAAGCGTTTTTTTTTTTTAATGAATTGTCTTACACTCTTACTTAGTTACTTAATGGCTTAAAATTATATTAAATAAATTATAACTCTATTATAAATTTATAATTTCTATAATATTTCATTACAAGTCATTTGTTTTAATATTTTATAATTCTTTACTTAGTTTCCTAATTTCCGTTTAACTTTTAAGTTTATTAAATAAGTCAAAAAACTATCCGTTGCAAACTTTAAAAACTTAGTCATTGTCAAAAAAATAGTCGTTGCCAAACTTAATGCTTAAATAATTTTTTTATTTTTTTAAAAAACGGCATTTAAGGCCAGCGAACCCGTCCTGTCCCATCCCGTTTGTTAGCGGGACGGAATGGTTCTACCGTCCCGTTTCGTCCCGGCCCGGTCCGACCCGTTGGACAACCATAGATTTTGGCTTCAAAATTAGAGTGTGCATTTATACCAATAAATACTATCTTACTCCCGCTCGTACACTTTAATTAATTTTTTGGTCTTTTTTTTGTGGTCCACAATAGTTAATTTTTTCAGATATCAAGAAAGAATTAGTCTCTTTTTTCAAAGATGCCCTTGGAGTAAAGAGTATAGGAGTATTTTTAATATTTTTAATTAATAAATTAAGGTTAATATAGTCAAATTTATTATTAATTAATGCTAAAAGGCTGATTTTTTAATATTTGTGAAAATAACCAAAAAGTCAATTAAGTGGACCGAATGAGTATTTGTTAGTATGGCATATGACATCATCATGACCAGTTCTCTAACATATAAAGACTTTATATGAATATTTCAAAGAACTTTATCAAAATTGAACTCTTACTACTTTCTATAAGCAAGCGTGAGATGTAATGTGCCAAATGGCTTATCATATTAGGACATTTATTAAATTACATTTCAAATAATTTATAGCGGACATTCAGTTGCAAGGCAAAAAGGTTATTGATGAGAGGTATATAATTGCAAGTAAATTAACACAACTAAGCTGAGTAAATTGATCAACTAAAAACATCATTTGTTTATGCTTCAAACTCATAGCCCCAAAATTATAGACAAAGCTTATACCTTAATATCATATTGTTTAAGTAATCGTGTTTTTCAAACCTTATTCTTTATACATCATTATCATACTTTTTTTCATAAACTAGTTCACTTTCACCTTACATGGCTACTTTAGATTACAAAAATTCCAACAACAAAACTACCAAAATTACAAGAAGTTTTACGACAAAAATCTTCAAAAAGTCATAGGGATATTGACATTTTGACCGCAAGAAATTCAATCTGTAATAAATTGCCAAAGAACTCGATTATTTATGGTTCGTCAACAATTAGTTATGTGGTTCGTCATTAAATTGGTGGCACTGGTGGGATAACAATTTCGAAAATTACTAATCTCGGGATAAAATACTAAAACGACATACATGCCCTTATCCAAGGCTCTTCTATCAAAATCCTTTAAAAAATAAAATAAAGGTTAAATTTAAAAATAAAAGTTTATCCCAACTTTCTAACGAGAACAAACACATATTTTATATTTTACTCGTTATTACTCTAGTAAACCAAATATCTACTAATAAAAATATATTTCCCCTGAGTTTTCTAATGAATGAGACGTTCTCTTAAGTTCAATGTAGATGCAATTGAGTTTAGTAAGCTAACTCAACTTGAATGTTAAATATACATTTATAGCTCAAACATGAACTCATATTTAAAGACTTCAAACTCGAGTTCAAGCCATGGTTGGGATTGGAAGTTGGTGAATGGAAAATGTAGGGAAGAAATGTAAATTTTTCCCTTATGCAAAGGGTGGCAACTGGGTTGGGACCTTTAGGTCCGCTAGAGATGGGCTCGTGCCGGTCTCGTGGGCCGGTTCTTAGCTAGGAACCGTTAGGATCGGGCCCGTTTGGCCCGCCAAGAGACCAGGACCAGACCGGTCACTTGGCGGGCCAAACGAGCCCAACAAATATTTTTTAAAAAAATATATTCGTTTGGCTTTTGAAAAAAAGAGTTGTTGGCTATTTTAAAAACAGCCATTTAACCCCTCCAACTTAGTTTTAACCCCAAATATTTTATTATTATACTTTTTTCTATTTGCTACTATAAATACCCACTCATTCTTTCATTTTCTTACAAAATCAATATCAATCTATCAAAATCTCTCTCTAATTTTCTTCTATACTTGCTACAATTATTTACTTTATCAAAAAATAGTGAAAAAATTATGAAATTGCTATTATTACTTTATTCCAAAAAAATAGTTAAAAAATATTAAGGTTGTTACAATTTGTGAAAAAATTATAAAGTTGGTGAATTGAAGTCTTCGACGATAATCAATTTTCAACTCAATTCGGTAAACTCGTTCCAACTCTTAAGTCTAAATATTATAGTTTTGTTTGTTTTATTTATTTGCTATTACTTGATTCATTACGATATCTTTCATAAGAAATATTTTTGGTAAAAATAAGAATATGAAAAAATCCAAGACTGTCAAATCTAGTGGTACTGTTGTTCCTCCCCCCTGACTCGGCTCCCCGAACCAGACCCCATACCCGTCCTACACCTGGTATTCTTGGTATGAAACTATTTATAATAGTTTAGCACTTAAAGATGATGAGTTGCCTAAACTTCCGGAAGTAATAGCCTCAATTAGAACAAATGCTGAAACTATTTATAATGC